CTTCTCAAGCACCAACTATCAAATATCTCTCTTGATTGTTGGCACTTGACAATCACCTTACCTGAATTTTACTCAGGTGTAACTAAAGTCTGATTTAAGGGTTGTTTATATTTCACATAATTAATCAGAATCTGCAAAGTAACTCAAATAAATGCAGTGGAGTAAAAATACCAGGTTAACCTCTGAATTGTAGTGGAGTAGAATTACAAAGTAACAATGAGCTGTCATGTGGGTAGCGATTTTCACCCATTTATTAATTATATGTTTTACATTTGATAACACCAATGTGTTTAATACTGGCAACTTCTAATTGTGGGAAAAACGAAAACGTTCAGTAGAGATGTCCCATAGAACATTTTGCGAAACACAATAGCCAGCATGTGTAGTTCTGGGGGGGCGTTCGATTCCAGTTTTGGATAGTCTGGCGTGGTTTCGTTCCATTTCACACAGCTGTTTGACGCTCTGCGTAACCTTACGGGGACTGTAGTCCTAAACGATAGCTGGGGATTATGGGTAGTGTTGTGTCTTCGGCCATCCTAAACTCAGAAATGTTGACAATCGCAATGATGCTCGAAATGTCCCTTATAGGCCTACGTCTGTTTCCGGTTATTTTTATTTTGAAATTCAGTTCCTGACGGACGCCAAAAAAGCCCGAGATTATGGAATTAAACCAATAAATAAAAGCAAGGATAATTGTGTGTTATTGGTGAGTAAATAACAGTGTGTTATTTTGAAAAGAATAACGAATTAGAAGGAAAAACATATTTAAAAATGCAGATTTCCGTATTCTGAGGCTCTGAGCCCCATTTATTTTCCTCACAGATGGCAACAAAAGTCCGAAAATATACGATTTAAAATAAAAGCAATAATTGTGGCTTGATATTGAGTAAGAACATGTTTTTATGAACCACACAGCTTCCGGTCTCCCACGACCCGACCGGAGAAAAATACGTGCTGCAGGCAGTAGAAATACATTGCTTTTAAAATCGTGCTGTGCAACACGAAAAAAAGGGGCAAATCGTGTTGGTGAACACGAATCAATAGATTAAAAATCGTGTTGGTGAACACAAAATGCCGTGAGACTGGGTTGCTTCATTGCAGGAACGTTTGGCTGAAAATCCTTTTGTAGCTTATAAACCATTACCTAAATATATCTTCAGTCAACTTCATAATGCTGGGGCTAATGTTAGCACAGTCTGACCAGTCTGTAAGAAAGACTAGAGCATTGCTGTTGGGATGCCCCTCTCCAAACTGGCCTGGCCTTTAGTCCCACTAAGAATGGCGGATGAAAGGAGAGAGCACTCTGTTTCCTGCGGCACCACTATCTCCTGCTTTCTATTATAATCCCGTCTTTATACCAAAGGGCCAGGATGGCAACCATGATGCTTCTGCTTCACGTTCCTCATTGTCACTCTCATATTACAACCCAATCTTTGCATCTTAAGTTGTCAGAGCTATTTGATACGCCATTTGTTCACCCTAGCTGGAATGCGTAAGATCGCCTTTCGAGTTTGAAGCAGAAAAAAAGAGGCTATTTTAGTTTTGCAAATATTAATGCTTGTGCTGCCAATGATTCATTTTGATACATTCTAAATCTTGTTCTTGTTTTTGATGTGATTTAGAGGACACTCTCCTACTCTTATTACATACAGGAGTATTGAAACGGAGGTAATTTCTCAGGAGAAAAAACAGTAGTGCAGTGGGAAAAAAGTGAGGTCAGTTTGCCCCAAGGCAGGAGCAGCAGTTATTAATAACAGAAGTACAGGCAACAAGAGCGCTGCACTCGTATGGTGTCCATTGGGAGCTGGTTACAGTAAACCAGCTCCATACACTTGGAGAACATGCCACAACAGCAGTATTCGTGTGTTTGTGTGTGTGTGTGTGTTCTGTGTGTGAGTGTGTGTTTGTACGCCTAGGAAAGTGGATGGACAGAGAGCATACGTTAATGCTTGTATGTTATGTCATGGTTGAATATTAAAATGTATTGAAATTGTTTTATTCTGTCAATATTTAAATTGAATTAAGGATATTTTTTTACTAATAAATACGTCCTGCTGTAGAACAAATAAAGTATATCTCCAACTGATTGAACAATAATACTTAAATCTTGAATGCTCAATGGATTTTATTCAATACAATTTAAATGTGGTGTGTTGGAGGGCGGCATAACAATAGCAATACCAACACATTAAAGGTTGAAAGGTTAGTCTTTTTAACAGTAAGCATTAGCTGGTAATGGGGTACCCATTTGTATTAATGTTGATATGGTTACCTGGATTTTAATAAAACTTTCCCAAGTTGAAGTAAATATTGAAACTATTTTCAAGCTGTAATACAATTTTGACACCAGGCAGCCAATCAGTAACAACAGTTTTCCACTTTAGTAGCAAATAAATAAGACTGTTCAACATCAGTTGTAGTGCCCTTTGATAAAGCAAAGGTCATCAACACACCATAGCTCTTTATCTGGTATTTCAGTAATTCGATAAATTATGTTATTTACAGTAGGGCTGTGTGATGAATCCTTTTTTACAGTGCTTTCTTCCATCTCGTCTTTAATTACCAAAAGATCGTACTCATTTCTCCCGAAGGTGATTAAATATTGCTAGCAACATCTTCTGCCACATTCTGTGTTGTGTGATGTTAAGCTAACTTACCACAAGATGATGGTTTGACTAAGGCGTTACTATGGAAACCAATACTGAGAAGTAGATTGGACAAGGTGTTAACATCCCTCGGTGTCCCAACTAATATCAGCATTGTCTTTTCATTGAATTTGTTCTAAATACATGGGACACAGCCATGGCATTTATGTTTGCCACGTGGAAGCAGGGACATTATAATGTTTTTTGTTAACACATTGAACATTTATGGGTCTAAATTGTTCTAATTATTAATAATATTATTATTATATAAGATTCAGATCTACTCAATAATATGATAAAAAACGAAATGAAAATGTGTTTAATTCCCAAAGAAAGCCCTTAACAGCTACTGCTCTGTACATTTATGCACTATGCCACATCCTCTTATTCATTCATAATGTCCTGCTAAGGACTCTTTATGTGCTCATATTAGTAATCATAGCATTCTAATAGAAGCCTTATAAGCCAGTAGTATCAGGCACACTTACACTAGGAATAATCAATGCTTTAACAGAGGACATTTTTCCTTACTATAACTTAGGCTAGAAAAATGCTGTATGCTGCTTTTATCTTTAAATTATCTGTTCGTCCTCTTAGAAAATACAATCTATTTGCATGTTAATGCTCAAACAAGCATCGCGGCAGTTAAAGGTTATTACAAAGTGATTAAATAAATTATTGTCAGTCAAGTATCTCCAGGTTTTGCCAGATTAAACAGAATTCAGCACTGAATCAGGTTTTAATAGTATTTTATTTACACTGACCAAACTGTCTGACGGTCATTTCTGTTGACAAATAAGAACACCCATGTTTTCCCCTTTGTGTAAATGTTCTGCAGATGTGGTGTAAATGAAATGCCCTTTTTTATTGGCAAACATTGGCATGTATTTCATGACACTTGCCCTGCTAAGCTATAACTCCCAAGCATGTGTTCCACAGTTTAAAGACAGTATGGATTTTCTACACTAGTAGCACTCAATTTTTACAGGTGCCAAGAGGGAAAGCCTGTACGTGGGCTGGGGTTGCCAAGAGACAGTTCAAGGCTTCTTGTTGAAAGACATATGTCTAAAAAGAGTTGTGTAATATTAAAAACACAGAATGAAACAGGAATCTACCGTAAAGTTCCTTGTTGCGTACTGCACTCGGCTATTGGTTTGTGAACTGCAGCTGAAAAGACATATGCCCAGCAAGTGTAAAGACGGTCTGAATCAGAGAGACTGACCTTCAGAATCAGAGACGCTGACCTTCTCTTCATCGAGCTTTAGGTAGCTAAGTAAGTGTAAATCCTCAGCAGCCCTGTTAGAAGTTCGTTCCTGGCTCAGCTGGCTGAAATGGAGCAAAGACTCCAAGCTTTCAGCCTCCGTTGCTGAGTGTTTTGTCGTCGGGGGTTTATCGTCTGCCTGTCAGGCTGAGTTTTAGCTGAGCAGAAAGGGAGGAGATTATAGACTCATTACTTTCTGTTTCCCAAAAATGTGTTTTACTGTTTTATAGTTACTCAATAATACATATCATTTTCTGAATTACACTAAAGCGTGTTTTGACATTTTTGAATCAATCATTTATTTTATAATTGTAGACATGAAAAGTTCAGGAAAGCAGTATTTCAAGTCTAACACTTGTTCTCCATTTCCATACTCTTGGGTGAAATGTGAACAGAAAGTGTGATTCTGCCAAAGCAAATAAAGCTAGCTGTTGGCTAAAATGTGTATTAGTTTACATTTTTACAGCTTTTTTAATATGCCAAATGAGCTTATTACCCATGCAGACAATTGTCACTGGATTACTTTGATCCTTAAACATAAAAACCCTGGAAGGAGTTATTTTTTGCTATAAATTCCAGGCAGGTTTATGGATTTGTACAAACAATGTGTGTATCTTTGTCCCTCCTATTTCTCCCCTTGTGATCTAACTCTCCCTGTATGAACCGCTTGTTTAATCCTACTCTGCATTTCTTACACTTACGCACAAACCTGGCTAAAAAATCTATAGTTTCTACTCTTTACGCTTCAACCAGTAGCTCTATAGCTCAATCTTTTGGTCAGTCGATCCACAGCAATATACTTCCAGTGCATGCATGCGCACAACAGCAGCAGAACAGAAAATACTGTAGCACCAATGAGAGTGCTCATGTGCCAAGGATATGCCTGATTTAGATCTGCCTTTTTTTCTACCACAATATTGACATCCAATCATTTATTTGTCAGCATTTATCACATTTAATTTAACAGTCTTTTCCTTCATAATTAATTTATGTCTAAACTTCCAGAGAATACAACCAGTGAAAGTATCCATCATTTGCATTTGACATTCTTAATACTTCAAGAGCCGGGTTAATGGTGTCCTCCTGTCTTGCAGGGGCGTGGTGAGAGTGGACATTAATCTACAGGATGTTGATATCGACCAGTGCTCTACTGACGGCTGGTTTGCTGGAAGCCATCGATGCAACCTGACCACTATGGAGGTGAGTGCCGAACATGTGGATTAGACAGAAGATTGATTCGCTCTGGAAAACTGAACTGTAATGTACACGCCTTCAGTCACATCTCCACCAGGCACTAAATGGAAAAGCACTAAATCTGTACATCTGTTGGTGAATGGATGGGAATCTGATTCCTTTTTTATTACACCGCTACCACATAGAAATAGAAATTTCTTTTTTAAAACCTCCAATTAAACAACATATATGTTTATGGGGTGTTTCCAAAACAGATCAATGATTTACAAACGGTGACAGGTATAGTTGTTTCATACTATACAATAGCATTTACTGTAAAGAAAACACATCATATGTATCCATATTTAGTTTTTTAGGTCACACCTGAAGCTATGTTAAAGGTCACCTATTATGCAAAATCCACTTGTTCATGTCTTTTATACATAAACATGTGTCCCCTCTGTGTAAAGAGATTCAGAAAGTTTCAGGAAAAAATATTTGCTCACTTTTTGTTCTGATCCATTTATATAAAAACCTGTCTGAAAATGAACTGATCAGATTTTGGCCTCTTTATGATGTCATAACGTTTTCATTAGCCAATAACCAACCAAGGTAACACTCGCCACCTTATCACCTGAATCTCCTCCTAGAGCACCATTGTGTTTTTTTAACCAAATATCTCGCAGAGGGGCGTGGGGAGTGGCTCCTTATTTTCATCTAAAGTTAAAGACAGAGAATCAGCACTTTTGAAACAGGGCTGAAACAGAGAGGATTATGGGATGCTACAATGCACAATCTGTTTGGTATTTCGAGCCAAACACTTCAGAGACATGTTTTGTATATATCAGAGACCTATAATATATTGATAAAACATTATAATAGGGGACCTTTAAATGCACCTGCACCAAGTTATCACGGCTATCAAGGTTTATGTCATGAAGCATGATATGTCTGTCGGTTAAGTCTGAATGCACATCTTTGCGTGACAGATGGGCCGTACATTTTTTAAGAACACAAACAGAGATATAGTATAGTGCCTTGGTTCTAAATCTAAAGGATCCATTTACAGGGTCAAGAGATATATTTAATTTAAAATGTAAGAGATGATGGAGATAGAGAGTGGGAAATGGGCTCAGGCTTGGCAGAGGATGAAATAGCCCTGGCCATTTTTAAACTAATGAAAAATAGCCTGTCTCAAGGCCTTGGAACATGTAGGCAGAGCTCTTGGACAAGATGATACAATTCTCAGCGCTCTTCTATTTTTGAGAGGATGTCAAATATCCACATCCTTCAATTCGAATTGGAGAGCTGTCATTTATCTTATCTTCAACGCTAGCTTTAATCGATAGTAACCTATTGGCAAAAGAAGTCAAAACTTAGTTAACACATATCACTTTTTAGGTTAAATAATCCAATACTTTCTTTCCTTAAGCTTGGTACAAAAACTGTATTTTAATGTGTAAAGAATAAAGATACATGTTTCCCATCTTATTTTGTCCGACTTTTGATAATCTATTTAGAGTTGATTTCTCTTTTTGTTCTTCCGCAGCCTATCTGCTTTTAAGTTCTTCATGCATGAATTTCCCATTAACAAGGCATTTTCGTTACGAGAACTTATGCTCACTACATATTATTAATTTTTAGGATCATTATCTATACCAAAGAGTTTATTGAATATATTAAATGAGTATTGATACATTACAACAGCAGTTAGCCTAGCACGCCATGTTATAAGCATGATAGAGAACATACTTTCCTACTTTTTGATTTAATCACCAATTATTTATTTGTTCTGCTTGCTTTCTTAGTAACCTTTCATTCACTGCTGTCCAGCTAGCCGCTCTCCTTCTGGTCGATACGTCTTATCTGCCGATTCAGTCTTTCGTTAAGAGGAATAGATTTTGAAGAGGTGCTGTAGATCAGGCTCCTTCATAATGCATGTGATGTAATGGATTGCAGTGAGCCTCTTTGAATAATTCATCACTCTCTTTGTCTGAGTACTTCCACCTTTCTGTGGACAGTCAATGCCTGGGAGAAATTTGACATAGTGAATGTGTGTGTGTGTGTGTGTGTGTGTGTGTGTGTGTGTTTGTGTGTGTGTGTGTGTATGTGTGTGTGTAAGTGTGTGTGTGTGTTTGTGTGTGTAAGTGTGTGTAAGTGTGTGTGTGTGTGTGTGTGTGTGTGTGTGTGTGTGTGTGTGTGTGTGTGTGTGTGTGTGTGTGTGTGTGTGTGTGTGTGTGTGTGTGTGTGTGTCTGTGTAGGGTGGCTACCGGGGGAGAAATACGTTGTTACTAGTATAGATTTTAGATGGGTTTTCAAAATAATGATCTCCGTGTGCTTACAGTGTGTCAGGAGAATGCTTACTTACAGTACAGCTGAAAGATGAAAGCTGTGGTCATGGCATGTTGCAGGATGGCAGCTTTATCATACAAAAGTGATCATTAATGTCATATCTCAATAAACAACATATAACAGAGATGTATACATATGGGGGTGAATTTAACAGCAGCAGCGATTTCACCACCTCGTTATCTCTTGTGAATACTGAGTTTGTATCATAATTCATAAATAAGGCTTGCATACTCACATCTTGTGCAAATAGGAGTTATAGCGAGCCATCTTCCTACCGACCTTCCTGGTTCTAAAGTGCACAACCAGGTAAATCAGAGGTGACGTGGGAAGCGGATGTCTTTCCAGCTATGAATAGAAAGCACGCCTGCAGCGGTGTAATCAAGTCTTGTTGGGCTGTGTGTGTGTGTGTGGTAATGTAATGAAAACAGCTCTGGGAGGGATGCCCCGTATTTGCAAACAGGGATTCATTTTGAGTTATTGCTGTATTTATTCACCATGCAGGTATTCCCCCTGCATGTGCAGCATTTGTTGTTTAATGGGTTTCTTTTGGGGCCATTTGAATAAAAAAAGGAACACTTTAGGCTGCTCCACTTCAGGAGGATTTGCTTTATTGGAATCTAAAGCATTAGGTTTAGAGCAGAGCAGTTTATACACTTAAGTGTTTCATTGACATTCACATTTTCATCCCACCTTCGGATGTTCTTTATAACACCATTTGCAGCACACTCTACTCCCACTTGTGTGTAGTCGCTTTTGCATGCACAACACAACAGGATTTATCCAACATCTATGAATTCCTCTCTTCACACATCTACTGTTGTTCTTTCTTTCGTAGCAGCGTTTTAAGTGCCACCATTCCAGCAATTGATTTTGACAAAATGCAGTCTTTCCAGCCAGCAAGCCAGACAGCCGGTTCCCTGGCCTCTCCTCACTTCCTGCCTCTCAAGCTGCTGTTTGCCCAGCCAAGCATGCAGGCAGCCAAAACTCAGATGGAGGCAAATGCTATGGATGACTGATTCACCAGGCAAGCAGAGAAAAAGCCAAACAAAATGAGGCTCGGACGGATGACAAGAAAAATACAATAACCCAACAGTGTCAAAAACCTATGAGCATTTGAAGGCAATACTATTTATAAATCCGAAAATGTTAATAGTGTTCCTGGATTCTTTCCTCACTGAAGAAAGACTTATTTTGTTTTCCCCAATGAGGTTAGAGTTCAGCTTAGCTATAGAAAAATGTGACCCAGAATCATATATAGTTAATGTTGTAGCACAATGTCGATTTGTTAATGCTTACAGACAGACATGAAGACAGATATGTCTTCAAAAAAGCGTAGATAAATTAATTGCGGAAACGATACAGTACATTTCAAAATCATTGGAATGTTGTTGTTTTTGGAAAAACACTGAACACAACCATCATATATGAATGTGCAAGCAACACTAACAAATACACTACTAGACTACGTAATTCCTGCTGTTTCCGACAACACAATACATAGCAATCAATGTTGTAAAGTCTGAATGCAGACAAGTCACAGTATATATATTTTTTGCCAAGAGCAAATGTATTTTCTCTGATAAACTATTCAGTACAACTTTGACTTATGAGCTAAATGACTCATTACATAGCCAAGCAGGAAGCCCAAAGATTATCAACTACATCCAGACTTGGAGATGTTTGAGGCTGACATTTTCCTACCTCTTATCTTTCACTAACGGAACTTCAATTCATGTGTTTCACTGTTATTCAAAAGTCTAGGACTTTGACGCCCTGGGGGCACCTTTCATATGAGAATAGGGATGTAGATGATGATGAATGTTTCAATCAATTAGCTTATTGCCCAGAACAAGGGGTTGGGCCCTGGGGGACCCAACTATGTGAGTGGCAGCGACGCATAACCTGAATGATTACTCCAACCAGCATGATAAGGACTCTTTGATGTTTTATAGTGTTTTTTAAAACTCAGAATGAAATGAAAACATCAGTCTGACAATACACACACGCAGGCAAAATGTATTGCGGTTGATATTTTAAGCAGAGGTAAAAAAACAGATTTGTGTAGAGTAGACATTTTCAAATCTAAAATGTAACACATACATATAGTAAACAGGATTGTCACCCTACCTCATTTCAGCCATGGTTGGGTTAAGCTCTGATGATGGGAATTGCAATGAACACTGACATATCTAAACCACTATTTGATGGATTTATGACATTTTGTGAATGCATTTATGGTTCCCAGAGGATGAATCATAATGACTTTTGTGATCCGTAGACTTTCTCTCTATTGCCCCCAAGAAATGTGCATGAGCTAAAATGTTTGGTGAACGTATTCATATTCCCTTCAAAACGAAATATATCATCATCAATTCACCATTTCAGAACTGGTGCTACCAGTATCTTGGTTGATCAAATACTGGCAAAGTTGTAGCATTGCTCATTACAATGACTAACTAACACCTGGCTAGCATCAGCCTGCTAACCTTGTACATTTTTCAGTAATTTCATGACCTCTTTATCTCGGTCTTTGTTTTCTGCCTTTTCAAGTCCACATACATACACTTTTATGAGGAGATGTTGAAGAGCATATTACATTTCAAGAATGCTAAATACATGTCTTAAAATAAAATGCATTGAAGAAGTACAATGAGTTACATTTTCCACTAAAGCTA